ACATACATACATACATACATACATACATACATACATACATACATACATACATACATACATACATACAGAGTTAGTCCTCTTTTGGTGGAGCTTATCAGCATGCAAGAATGATTCGGTTACTTTGTTTGATTTACTGTAGGCCTTAGGGCATTGTATGAATAAAGTCCAACTCTGAGGGTATCTATTAAGATACATAGGAGAACAAATGGGACTCGACTTTCCGTTTTAAATAATTGTCCCGACTCAGTTCTTTCGAATAATTTAGACTTTAAAAAAGGGCAGCCAGGAAGTAGAGGCTACAGCTTGGCAACAAGGCAAATGTGCTTAACCGCCCTGTTTCCTTCCTTGCAGACGAGTCAGCTCGAGTTTTCAACTGCCTGCCCAACGATTGTCCTAGCGCTCACTTTCAGGAGAGCAATCGACTCGGTGAATTTCTGGTCAGGAACGGCCTTCGCCCGGTCGACTTCACTACAAATCACGACAGCATGATGAAAGAATGCAAGCCATGCCATTCTAACTGTGCCGTTTGTACTGCTTTTGGGACAGCAAAAACCATGTGTCCAACTTGTCGGCATGTCTGGTTCCGAGACTCTTGCGTCAAAGTGTGTCCGGCGGGTGAGTCTTGAGCGAGACTTTAACCTTTCCCATCTTCTCTCTATGCTTTTACCTTTGCATTTATAAATACTTTCCAGCATTTTAGATCGCATGCTGATCTCATAAGTGGTTGGCTTCACGCAGACCCTGAGTAATCTGTTTTTTATTTCTCCTTTACATAAATACACAATACACCTGGGTTCATATCCTGCACATAAGTTACTCACTGCCTAGCAGGGATTAGCCATGACTACTAAGAAAAAACCTATTCTCACTTATTTGGCCGATGCTATCAGGAATTAGAGTGTTGGAAGTACGTATTGTTTATGCTGTTTAAAGGGAACTGAGGCCCACACCTGACTTGAGGCTTGGGTCTGGAGTGTAATTCATTATGCCATGCCTCCATGTCGTCATGGCAACGACATTTCGAGAGGCCTGACACGGCGCAATTGAGTGCAACTTTTGTTCTCTCTCTCTGCGATTCATTCGGCTCCTGTAAAGAGATGTGATACAGAACATCTCTTTTCGGTCATCTTCTTGGGCTGCGCGGATTGAAGGCCTATTCAGAAGTCGACCTTGTGGGATTTCGCGTTCAGTAGCAGATTCACCCTTTACCTGGACCACCATTACAGCTTTTTCTACCGGTTGAGTAAGTTATGCCTGCTTAGGCAAGGCGGCTCAAGTTCCAGCGACTCGAGTCGAACTTTGCCCGGGTCGCTCAGACGGCATAATCAGTCGCAGCAATAGGAAGTATAACTGTGAAGGTAAGAGAAATTATAGTGGAGCTTCAAAGCCGTTTGGTTGCTCGGCTTTCAGATCGGCCTGTTTGTCCGGACCGCACAGATTCTTCCTACCGCCTGATTGGTTGGTTTGTCTGTCGGTGCCGCCTTGTGGAGAATTTGCTTGACGAGGTAGCTCGCATTCCGACACCTGCGTTTCAGTCTACGTTTGGTAGATTTTGTAACCCAGCCAGTCAGGCTGCTGCATGTCTGTCCTTGAACTCGGCAACCGATGAAAATTCTTATTTTTTCGCTGGAGGGCTTGGGCATAAAGTATTTGCGTCCATTCGAAGGAGCGTTGGTTGGACCGCAAAAAGATTGCAAGATACTCATGAATAAACATACGAGGGGAGAGCAAATATCTACACAAAAATGATGGTACTAAGTGGCAGGCAGCTAATAACAGAACGTATTTATAATCCTGCATGGAATACGACTGGGTTGGCCTTTTAGCGCGACGAAAACGCATATCGAAATAGTCAAGTCGTTAGGCGTATAGATGGAAGTATGGATATACCTGATAGATGGACGAGAGGATATTGACAGGTATAGGCACTTGGATAGAAAAGTAAACACGTTGGCATTGCTTTACCAAATATCAAGCAATGTATTTTGGCAGTACTGATTGATAGAATATGCCCGGTCTACTATGGCATGCCAACATTCTAGGCAATAAACGTAGCTCATTCAATTTTCACTTTTGGAAGTCCTCCTTAGGCTATTTTTGAGAAAACATTCATTAACTATCGATTGAGATCTCGAACCATATATTAATATTTCGTCGTCAAAGGCCAATTTTGATAATTGCTTTGGGAACGCATGTGAATCGTCTGGGCTTTTTCTGAATTTGTCTCCTGGCTGCCGGGTTTTAAGCACTTAGCTCCCATATTCAACTGGCAGCTCGTAGATGAGGCATAAAAATCTCATTTCTGCCGTAAATGATGATAGTAAACTGCAAATGAATATACTATTTCGTTAAATAGGCTAGCTTCTGTATCGCAAGGGCAAATTATTCCAGCTGCTCGCTCTAACATACACAATAAAGATGTGTTGAGTGACTTTATCTTACCCTCTGGCTGGAAAAGGTTTCGATTGTGAAAACAATTAAATGGCACATTTTCCAGCAGATGACTTTGGCTCTGATGGCTGGGCGATGAGTTGGAGCAACGGTTTGGCATTGTTGCTGAGTTCCACTTTATCTCGAATCCGAAAAGGGGGTTATTTCCTGATGTTGACTGGACAACTCAGTAACTCCAGTGTGCTGCAGCTATGATGACCAAGATGATGTGGCCTCTGGTATGGTCGCAGTCTCCTTTCAATTTATAGAAGTGGATTGACCTCGTTCTCGCAAATTGGTCGACTTAATAGAACGCACCTTGTCCGAAGTCGTCTGCCATAATAGTTGTCATGTTTCCCA